AGAGAGAGAGAGAGAGAGAGAGAGAGAGAGAGAGAGAGAGAGAGAGAAAACAATAAGCCCAGGTCTCTATTATGAAGCACAACTAGGTAGCTTATTCCCTCAAGGCTTCATCGGAAAAGGGTCGAAGATCTCAAAAGACAGGTTTTGCAGAACAGCGAACGTGCAGTGAAGCAGGCCTGATCTTGAAAACTGGCAGGCAAAAGAGAGGAGCTATTCCTTGCCTGGTTTTCCGCTCTGCACTCAGAGCTGGTTTGCTTAGCGCAGCTTCGTTGGGTTATATCAAAAATGGGTGCACTGTACAAAAAGAAGCAATTACGGGAAATTCTGAATCTTGCACAGAAGCAGAAGCAGCCAGGCCTAGCTGCAGAGGTGAACAGCCGATGGCCGTCTTGAGGCCAAGGTCACACCAACAAAACTTACACACACACATACACACTCCAAAACCTTCACTGAAACCAGCGGTGGGCATACTAGGTACCTAGCATCAGCCTGGAATAATGTGTCACGGAACATGAAAAAAACAGTATCTTTAAAACAGAGCAGGTGATTTCTTTCAACAGCAAAGGGGAGAAACACCAGCAGCCTTTTCTGCTCTTGACGCAAGGACGGGCAGACACACTGGGGGGAAAAAAAAAAGTTGTGTCGTCTTTCCACAACCGGTTGTGGAGAAAGGAGGAAGCCACGCAGGCTACCAGGTTACACCGGGATGCAGTACCTCTCCTGCCAATCATAGCCGCCGTTATGGAAACGGTTTCTACAGTATTTCTGTCATGAGAAATAAGTGTCAGGTGGGGAGGGCAGACGGTGAATTATTCCAAAATACGGCAGGAGCCTTATCTATCTCCAATGCCGACAGCTCTGTGACGCAATGATCGTCCGTCCGTCTCAAGGCGACGCAGGAATGCGAGAGATTTCATCGCTGCCATTCTCTCCCCAACCATTTTTCGAGATACGAATACGGGGTTTTTTTTCCCAGGATTCTCTACACATCTGAACCAGGTTACTTCCTGGGAACTATCCCAAAGGGGCTTTTTCAAAAGGCAACTGGACTTCCTGTTTTTCCTTGAAGACGTTTCGCTTCTCATCCAAGAAGCTTCTTCAACTCTTGACAGGATGGCGGAGAATGGAAGGATTGATATTACTTGCAGACAGCTGGTCATTTGCGTCCTTTTAGAGCAGGGGTCACCAACCTTTCGGACCTCAGGGACCACTAAATTCATCATTTTAAATCCCGCGGACCTCTAATATGATCTGCCTAATGACGGGCTGGGTGGGCGTGGCTAGGTGGTCATGTGACCGGGTGGTCATGGCCAACTCAATGTCACTCATGTCAAGGGGCGCCTCGACGGCACCTACACACGGGTTCTTCCCGAGAAGTTTCCTGGATGAGAAGCAAAGTCAATGGGAAGCTGGATTCACTTAACAACCCGTGTTACTCACTTAACAAATGCAAGGATCTGCTTGTCAGCTGCGGCAAGAAAAGTCGTAAAATGGGGCAAACTCAAACTTAAACACGTTTCACTGAGCGATGTAAATTTTGGGATCAATTGTGATCGTAACTCGAGGGCTACCTGTATTGTACTCCAGAGATCAGGCATTCCTTTTTCAATTCATTCCCCCAAACATTCTTTTTGTAGAATGAAAATAAACCCCGGGGGAAAGGATTCTTAGCCAGCTTTCTCTCTCCACCGAACATTATTTTTCCATCGCCTAAGACAGTGATGGCTAATCTTTTTGCCATCACGTGCCAAAAGTGGGGGGATCGCGAGGTCACGGGTGTGTGTGCCCACACCCATAATTCAATGCGCCCCACCCCCGTGCATGCACACGCAACTCACCCCCCCTATGATCCCTCTTCTTTTAGCACGCGATGGCCCGGTGGGCCTGGTAGGCCCATTTTTTGCCCTCCCCAGGCTCCAGAGGCTTTCTAGGAGCCTGGGGAGGGTGGAAACAGTCTTCCCCGCCTCCCGGAGGCCAGAAACAGCCCGTTTCCCGACTTCCAGTGGGCCCGGAAGGCCTGAAAATTAGCTGGCCGGCACGCGCATGCACGCTGGAGCTGAGCTAGGGCAACGCTCATGTGCCCACAGATATGGCTCTATGTGCCACCTGTGGCACGCGTGCCATAGGTTTGCCATCATGGGCCTAAGAGATACATAAGTTTTCAAAACATATTTATCCCCGTTTTCCTGTCCGACTGGCACAATCAGCCCAGAAGTGTATAGGGTAGTGTAACATTGAAATATGATTCTATGGGCAGAGATGATTTGTCGTGGTTCCCCCTGCCAACCCCATCTATTGTGACCCGCCAGCAGCCAGCAGAGCTGGCAGCAGATTCAGACAGTGAGGAGGTTGGGGAGGAATGTGGGCCAGTCCTGGGGTCTGGGGAAGGCTCGGACGAGAGCTCTGCATCAGAGGCAGAGAGGGAGCCAAGACCATCTGGTAGTTCTTTGCTATCTCCGGAGTCTGACATCAGCGAAGGCAGAAGAACAGTGGGAGCCTGTTCCCAGTGTGTGCATGCAGAGAGCTGCTAGGAGACAAGAACAATTAAGAAAACGGGGTCGACTTGGGAGTAAGGCTTGGAGATGATTGGCCCCTCCCATAAGACATAAAAGAGAAGCAAACAGGATGTGAGCTTTTGCAGGAAGCAATTAGTTCATCTGGTCAGTAAAAGCTGTGGGAAAGTTCTGTTTGACTCTGTGCTAAGTTTGGCCTTGCCCTGCGTGTGGCAATTAATTCTCTGGCAGCATTCCAAGGGAGATAAGGTGGGTGTTTGTAAACACTCCCCTGCAAGACTGTTCGAGAAGCCTTTTGGACTGGGAATGACAATAATTCACAGCCGTATGAATTAAAGAGGTTTGCCGGGACTAAGTTTGTGCTGTATACTTTCTCAGGAAGTCTAGGTCAGAACACCATCCAAATTCAGAGTACAGATGGCTTCCCCGACATATGGATTCTCAACGCACATTCAGAGAGACAAGAGAGGACCGAATAACACACAAGGGATCTGGACTCAAGTCATAATTTAAGTCAGGTATTTCCCAAAGCAGCTTCCAGCACCGGATCAAAAGAGCTTCGAGCACAGACATTATGGGCTGTACGGAAGTCACAGACCGAGAGCCCATCTCGTCTTTTATCTGTACAGCGATAAAACTTTCTACCCACAACAACACCAGCTCTTCTGCTTCCAGAGCATTTACACGCTGCCCTTGTGACTCCATTTCCCCAGCAGCCCTTCGGTAACTGCTAGTGAGAAGGAAGGTTCTACCTTTTCCAGGATATGGAAGGAGATCAGAACCGCTTCTAATCGAAAAAGGGAGGCGGGGAAAAGGGTGGGAGGAAAAGGGAAGGTTGATACTGCACCACAGATTCCAATACCTGAACAGACGTCGGGGTGGGGGAGGAGGGGAGACAAAAGGACCCCGAGGGTCCCCTGGCAGGGTGTAATTTAGGACTATTTGGGACTTCGAGCTGCCAATTGGCACGGTTTGTCAGGAACGTTTAAAGGAAGGCTACGATTTCTGAACTTGGCAGGCGCTAGCTTCCATGGATCCAGCCCGACTCCATTGGCAAACGGGACCAGTCAAACACACAATACTGCAGTCACAGAGGAAAAAGATGGCACAGATCAGAATCACCAGGTTCCGTCTTCTTCCCAGCACATTCCATGTTCCAGGGCTGGGGCCAGAGAGGCACTCCCTTAATTGGGCTTAGAGACTGCCGACGGAGGAAGAGTTCCGTCAAGCAGCAGCGACGAGTGCCCGGCCTCTGTGACAAAAAGGGAGCATTGGCAACTGTCAAGTTTGTGGGCACCGTTCACGACCGCTGGCGAACAAAACCGCCTAAGGAACAACATGCTGTCCAGCCAGCTGTTCCCGTCCTTGCTCACGCTGCAGCTTCACAAGAGGCAGCCAAGGAAAAGCACTCTCGGGTCCATCTCGGAGGCTAAGGTGTCATCTGCGCAGGATCGAGTGTCTGAACAGTTGATGATTCTGCTTCTTCTGCAGTGGTAGCAGCAGCGACAGGTGGCTTGGTGGCTTCCTGGGGCACCTTGTCTGTTGGCCCAGGGAGCTGCGGAGGAAGAAAAGAAGGGAGGAGGACAATTCACAGCAGAGTCCCGCAAACAGCTCCTTGAAAGCAAAACTGTCAATCTTACGGACATTTGGAGACACGTTAAGGATGTGGCTTAGTGTCTTGCCCATTATAGAAATCCTTTCTGGAAATCCATTCACCCAGCAACTTCCCTATGGGCTACTAGAAAACAGTGCTGGTGCCAAGGCTGGGAGCAGGTACTGTATTTTTCGGAGTATAAGATGCATCTTAGTTTTTGGGGGTGAAAATAGGGGGAAAAAATTCTGCCAACCAGGTATTCATCTGGCTAGTCCTTAGCCTGGTCAGCTTCAGCACATTAGTTCGTGCGCTGGTTTTGAGGTTGGGGCTGGTTGGGGCTAAAAAGCCGCTTCTAAAGCACAGCTGATCGTTGGAGGGAGCAGCAATTAGAAAAGCAGGCAAAGCACAGAAGATTGCTTCCTGCATGCTGGGGCTGAAAAACAGCTTCAAAAGCACAGCTGATCGTCGGAGGGAGCTCCAGTGATTAAAGCAGGCAAAGCGCGGAAGGGGTAAGAGAAGGCAGCAACTGTTCCGGGTAGCCGTTTTGGGCACCGCGCATCATGTTTTCAGCCTCCAAATGTGTCGCGTTTTCGGGCGATGATTGGCGGCGATGTACTTTGGCGATCCCCGCAGCCTTGAACGGCTCTCAAACGGAGTCTTTGGAAGCTGAAAACATGACGCGCGGAGCTCAAAAACACAAGCCATTGTCGATGGCAATCTCTGCAGTCAGGAAGAAGACGCACGGAGGCCAAAGGGTGGAGGCTGACGGGTCGGCGGGGTTACATTCAGAGTATAAGACGCACCCAAATTTTTAGCCTCTTTTAGGAAGGAAAAAAGTGTGTCTTCTACTCTGAAAAATATGATAATTTTCATCCTAAGTGCACCTCTGCTTTCCACACTTACCAGGCTTTGCTCTGGGAAGGCACTGCCGCCCTCGGGGGCACCACCGGATTCCTGGTCACTGCATTCCTTTGCGCTTCTCTTCTCTCCTTGCGTTCTGGGCTCAGGCCCAGCTCCGCTCCCTGAGATAGCACTCTCTTGAAGCAAGATGCCCCGTCTATCCAGCACGCTATAAAGCAGAAGCGGATGATCAGGGAAAATAAGACTTTTGAGGGGAAAAAAATGTTTAAAGAGATGAGAATAGCTAAATTATCAATAAAGGAGAATATGTGTAGATCAGGATTGAAAAGAGGGGTCCTTGGTGCTCTCTGAGCTTGGTGGTTTTCTTGCAGATGTTTCATGACCCAAACTACAGTAGTGGCCAAAATCGTGGAAACCTTTCGGGGAAAGTGTATTTTTGAGGTTTGATGGCTAATAATACCACTTTTTTTTGGGGGGGGGAGTTTCAAGATAATCCTATTCCAGTGCTGGATTGGCCTGGGAATAGCCCAGACTTTAACCCAATTGAAAATCTATAGAGCCGACTAAAGAAACTTGTTAGTCAGAAGCGACCCAGCAATAAACCCCATCATTCAATAGAAGCCATCATTGAATCTTGGTTTCACATTAGAACAGCTGCAGAACTCAAAGACTTGCTTCACTCCATGGGAAGACGTTGTAAGGCCGTCATTCATGCTAAAAGTTAAACTAAGTATTAACTGACATGGTGATAATTTTTGTATATCTCATTTTTTCTACATGTTTCACTTTTCTTCTTTATACAGTAACTGCTATTCTAATAGCAAATCCTTCATAAAAGTTATTGCATTACATTCTTGATTAAATTATCTTTCCATTGATATATAATTTTATGGTACTACTCCCCCCCCAAAAGTGGTGTTATTAGCTAGTTTTAGAAAAATACATTTTTCCCAAAAGGTTACCACAATTTTGGCCACTACTATAGGTCACATCATCAGTGCTAATCCACTGATCGCTAGCATTGATGAATGTTACCTAGTTCGGGTTATGAGACATCGTGACTCAGAGAGTGCCAAGGACTCAACAGCTAAATTCCATCTCAGATCTGCAGGAAGAGCCCCTTCCATCAATTCCCTCTCCACCACGAATGCTGCTGCACCGTTTCATACACAAGGGAAACAACATCGAGATACGGATTGAGCCATCACCTGGGAGGCAAAGGACCACACAGAACTTCGCAGCAGTTCTTCACTATGTTACCATGGCTGTAGGGATTCTGTACACGGTTCTTCCCTGTCCAGGAACCTTTAATCTGAAAGAACAAGAAGAGCAGCCTCTAAAAATCCAGAACCAAGGTTAGCATTGATCTACATGATGATGATGTACACCCAGATCCCAAATGAAAAAGCATCTTTCAAAGTTACTCTGGCTTCTTCCAACAGATCTCTCCTGGAACTCTTGGCTCCTGCTGTTTTTCTAATTACTTTGTCCTAATGAGATGCCTTCCTCATCCACAGAAGAGTTTTACTCCCCCCGAGTCTGATGCATCAGTCAAAGGCTCTTTACTGCTTGCAAATGAGAAGAAACAACTGCCCGGTTGAATAGGCGGGCTCTATTCTGCCTGAGGATTTGAAGAAACGCTAGAAATTGTAGCAAAGGGACGGAAGATGGAAATGCATTTAAGTCTTTACTTCGCTAAATGAAGACTTCTTTTTAAAAAAAAAAAATTGACATGTTTGGAAGAAAGCTTATTGTGTTCTTTGGAAGGAAATCCAGTGGTTCCAATCCATTCAAGGGAGAATGGGTATTCTTTCAAGAAACTTAGTCACGCCTGTCTAGAGCAAGGCCAGACTTCTATGATAATAGCTCTAACCAATGTTTCCGAAAAAGAACATTCTCACAGAGAATGTGAGAGAGAGAGAGAGGGAGGGAGGGAGAGGGAAAGAGAGAGAGAGAGGGAGAGAGGAGGAGAGGGAGAGAGGGGAGAGGAAAAAAGGGGAGAGAGGGAGAGAAAGAGAGGAGAGAGAGGGGGACAGGGAAAGAAAGAGAGGGAGAGAGAAAGAGAGAGGGGGGAAGAGGGAGAGAAAAAAAGGGAGAAAGGGAGAAAAAGAGAGAGGAGAGAGAGAGGGAGAGGGAGAGAAGGGGAAGAGAGGGAGAGAAAAAGAGGGAGAGAGAATTTACAGATGTGTCTTTGGAAGTACTTACATCTTCGTTCGTTGTCTGATTCAAGGCTACCAGGAACGTGTGGAATCCAGTTAGGCCCACCACAGACCAAAGAGTGAAAAAGCAGATCAAAACTTCCAGAGCCGTGGAAAGATCAGTTAAGGAACACAAGCTCCTTACAGAATCATTAACTTCTCCCAACGCTATCCAACCCCATTTCCCCCCACACACACACACACACACTGGAGAGCAGGGCAGAATGATTTCTCTCCTATTTCTCTCCGGCCAAATTAAAAACAACTATCGATCAATCAGCAGAAAAGATATGTCCCTGGAGTTTCTTTCAGCGTACTCAAAAAGCCGATCTTCAGGGATTCTGCATGGAAGGAAAAACACAATGTTTTTAATCTCGAATTATTAACCACATCAAGAGCGAAGGCCATTCCCCCCCCCTTCCTTCCTTCCTTTCCAAGATGCCTGTGCAAAGCTTTTGGTCCAATTTTTTCCTCCCCTGACTATAAGCCCTACTCACTCAGGGCGACGTAAACAATGTTGAAGGAGAAGATGTAGATGGTGAGGAGTGACAAGGAAAGGATGAAGAGGTAGAAATAACGGTAGTTCCTCTTTCCCACACAGTTTCCTACCCAGGGACAATGATGATCGAAACGCTCTGTAAAAAAAAGAGAGAAAGAGAGAGAGAGAGAGAGAGAGAGAGAGGTTTTTGCTGCTTTTCTCTTTGCTGCAGAAGAGAAATTTCAGCCAGCATGTTGTAAAGTTTCACTCTCATACCAAGCCCACGCTGCAAATCCTTCTGGCTAACTATGGAACGGATTCATGCCCTCGTCTTTGAGGTGGGAGGATTGTCAAGTGGGCAACTTCTGCCTTCAAAACTTTGCTTTGTTTTAAAGAAGCAAACCTCTGTGATAGTGTCAAAGACTGGCAACCTACAGGAAAGGGGCTTGCCGAATTTTTGTGCATATGGGACCGTGTTTCCATGAAAATAAGACCCTGTCTTATATTTTTTTGAACCCTGAAATAAGCGCTTGGCCTGATTTTTGGGGAGGTCTTATTAGTTTGGGGCGTGTGGAACAAGACGGGGCTCCTTTTGCCGTCTTACCTGATTTCCAGCTCTGCGTTTAAATTTTTTCAGGGAGGGCTTATTTTCGGGAAGAGGGGGGAGGCTTATTTTAGCGCATGTGCTCAAAAGCCCAATTGGGCTTATTAGCAGGGGATGTCTTATTTTCAGGGAAACAGGGTAAAGTAAACCTTACATTGGACTCTTTGGGGAAGGCAGAGGGAACCAGCAGCACTGGGAGGAATGGTGGGGGGGACAAGGCCCACTATCTGAACCTGAAAAACAGTAGCCGAATGCGAGCTCTGATGCTTTCAGGTATTCTCACCCTCTTATTATAGGGAAGTTGCAAATCACCGCAGATGTAGACTTGTGTGGTGGCTTGCGTGGCATCGAAATGACTAACCCCCAAAGTCCTGCTTTCGTTTCACTTGAAAGTCTAGAATTTACACTTAAAGAGAGGTTTGAAGGCTGGCTGTAGACATCCTGCATCCGGGTAGGCGGAGTTGCCAGGTCTTCAATTTCTTTTTCCCTTCAATCAGTAGCAAAAGGGACCACTTACTGCCTTACTAGAATGTCTTAAATTCTGCAGAGCAGCTCATGGGCCATCGGGAGAAGGTAAAGGTTCCCCTCGTACATATGTGCTAGTCGTTCCTAACTCTAGGGGGCGGTGCTCATCTCTGTTTCAAAGCCGAAGAGCCAGCGCTGTCCGAAGATGTCTCGGTGGTCATGTGACCAGCATGACTCAACACCAAAGGCGCACGGAATACTGTTACCTTCCCACCACCAAAGTTGGTCCCTATTTTTCTACTTGCATTTTTTACCTGCTTTCAAACTGCTAGGTTGGCAGAAGCTGGTACAAACAACGGGCGCTCACCCCGTTACGTGGCACTAGGGATTCGAACCGCTGAACTGCTGACCTTTTGATCGACAAGCTCAACGTCTTAGCCACTGAGCCACTGCTGGCTCCCTATCTTTTTTTTTTTTCTTTTTTAAGAATGTACTTAGGTGCACATTCTCAGCCCCGAATAGAGCCCTGAAGGGATTTGGAGCCCAGCCTCTTGTCACTCACCCACACAGTTGTCGCAAATACTGCAATGTGAGGCCCGGGGTGGACGGAAGATCTTGCAGGTATAGCAATACTTCAGCTTCACGATCTGGTTATTGATCTGGAAGTTCTTAATGCGCGGAGGTGGCCGCTGGCCGGGAGGCACCGTTCCATTGGTTGCCTCTGAAATGAAAGCAGACTGTTGGCTGCCTGACCTTTGCCCATCTTGCCAGGAGAAGTAGTCTACATCCTCTGGCTGGCTGGTTTCGCCAATTGCCACCCCACGTACCTATTTCCATTTCAATGAAAGCTGCCTCATCAGGTAGGGCCCGTGGAATGACCCCAGGGTCACTGAAGCTTGTCCGCAACAGGGTTGCCATTGCAAACAAAAAGAGAATGACTGCAAAGACGGGGATAGCTGGGGAGAGGTGGATAGCAAGGTACCGGCACCTGGAATAGGAAAAAATTCAGGTCACTGAAATGACACACAAAGACGGTCAGTTCCTGTGAAGACTTACAAAGGTTCTAAAAAGGGCTCCAGGCAAGGATCTAAACACACTGGATTTCCACCCTTTCGCTGGAGGCCAAAGAAGGGACTTGTTGGAGCAGTTTGTATTTCAAGAACCCCTTTTCTAAAAACAATACTCATCAATCCCAGAGTCTGTAGAGATTCTCAGTCATCCAGGTCATGGTTGTCCCAAAGGTGCTTTTTCAGGAGATAACTGGACTTTGTTTTTTTCCTTTGAAGTTATTTCACTTCTCATCTGAAAGGATGCACATGACCAGCTGTCTGCAAGGAATATAAATCCTTCCATTCCCCACTATCCTGTCAGAGCTGAAGAAGCTTCTTGGATGAGAAGCGAAACGTCTTCAAAGAGGAAAAAACAAGAAAGCCCAATTGCTTGAGAATTTCTACAGACTTTTTAGCTTTGGGATGGATGCCCTTCGAATGGTATGGGAGTAGGAATGCAGACTACAGGAACCAGGAGCACCACTCAGGTGACCCTGAGGACACAGATAAACCTCCAAGTGCTTCAAGAACCCTCTAAAATATGCAAAGGACAAGCTGTCTGCAAGGAATATAAATCATTCCTTTTTCCCCAACTATCCTGCCACAGGTGAAGAAGCTTCTTGGATGAGAAGCGAAACGTCTTCAAAAGAAAAAACAAGAAAGTTGCCTTCTGAAAAAGCACCTTTGGGACCTCTGGGACGTCACCTCTGGGACGTTAATCCCACATTTGCTGAAAGCTCTTGGAAATATCTCAGCAGCTTCCAGTGCAAGCTTAGAACCAAATCACATCTGTATAAGGACCAGCACTGATTACCGGCTTCCTCCTCCTGTGGCATTTATTGACACTCTTAGGTTGGCACTTGTTTTTAGGGAGTTGGTTTTGAACAATCATGTGCCTGTTTTGCAAATGATTCAAAAAAAAAAAAAGATGATAATTGAGGAAAAGCTCACACAGAAATTGTGCTTGTCTAGGCAGTTGATCTCATATTTCAACCAAAACAATCAGAAAGACTTAATGAGTTAAAAGGTCCGGCACTTTAAATATTGAGAGAGGAGAATAAGAGGAATAACGAGAGCAAGAATTGCTGGCTCGTGGATTAGCTTATGTACTACTAAAACTTTCATGGCTCTAACCTTTAACTGGATGAAACGATGCACGACAGGGGCAAAACGTTTTCAACCATGTGTATCTCAAATGAATATTCACTGAAACAACGGCAATGAGCAACAGGTTGTCTAGTTTTATATATTTTAACTGCACAGTAGCCCAGTTTAGAGGAATTCCAAATGGATCATCCTCCCTATCTCTCTCTCCTATTTTGGGTATTCCGTCATACACACATACATGACACAATAAAAACGTCTGCACCCCAAGGAAAGCATACATTTTTATATCAAATTGGCAGCCCTGCCCCTTGGAGAAAAGGCACATCATCAAGAATAGTGTTCCATGCCAACATTTTTAATCTGGTTGATCTAAAAGCGCAGGCAGGAAGTATATTGAAACGTAAACAACATTTAAGCATTCATGGAAATCAGTTCACGTGACTTAGATAAACTTATTCACAACACAATCATTTTGATAACATCTTTTTTTAAAAAAAACAAAAACAAAAATTGAACCAACTCTGAAAGTCAAAAATATTGCTAGATCCAACCGCTTAAATAATAGCCTAAATGAATCAGTGATTTCTTAAAATAATCCTCCTATAGCTTTCTACAACTTCTGGAAGCAAGGTTCAAATGCGGAATGTTCTGGTTCTTTCTTTCAAAGTTCCATGTGAATCAGAAGCAAAGTGAGTGTTTTGTTTGGAAGTGACACAATCAGCCAATTAACCTTGTCTCACAGGCTAAACATGCATAACAAAATCAACATTGAGTTGCTATGTACTTTCACTCTGAACTTATACAATAGTCCTCAATGATATCCTTCACCATGTCCTTTCTCACCCTGTTCTCATTTCTGCTTAAAGAGGAGAATGCCAGGATCTTATGGAAACGTCAACAAATACAAGCAAAACTATTAAAAAATTCAAAATTCTCTTTCTTTATTTAGAAACACTTCCCCAGCATCACAGGTGCTTTAACCTGGCTAATTTCTTCTTGTAAACCTGAAGAGGGGAGAACAGATTGAAGATTCACATTGAACTAATAACATGAAGTTTTCCAACTTTTATTTTCATCGAAATTAAGTTGATATGATTGAATTAACCTTTCTAAAGGTTCACCAACAGCAATCTTCTCTATTGTCTTTTAATGCTTAAGACACGTCTTCCCAGTTTTCAAGCATAACCTTTCGCATATCAGGTATAGCTATTTATTTCTAATATTTTGTATCATCAATCAGGCAGCTACATATAAAGTGCTGGACAAGACCTCTGGTTACTATACTTCCCACTTTGTATTATTGCTGATTCATGCCAAAGTGCAGACTGGGGTAATATTTCTCCTAGATTTCTCAGTGAACGATATTAAATATTTATATTCCATAAATATAATTTATGGAACAGTTCTACACATTCTCCGTTTTGCCACATTCTCTGACCTGGGAACAGCTTACAATACAATACTAGAGCAGTTCTGATATTTGATATTCTTCACCCAAGGTGGGAGAGCAGTTTCTAAAGATATTACTCCAGGAAAATACCAATACGGTACAGGGACTAATATCAGAAAACTGGTACAGAGACTACAGGTTCAGTTTCCATGCATAATGCCACACTTCTCGAACCGGGCATCTGAAGGTGGCTCAGGTATGAACAGCTTTTTTTTTGTCTAATCTGTCTTCCATGATTTTGCAAGAATAAAAGGAATGAGGAGAACCACATATCATCCTGAGTTCCTTGGAGAAAAATCAGCATTGCTTATTCAGAACTGAAGAACTGTTTCTGAAATATTCTCCAAGGCAGGATTCTGTTTTCCAGTTAACAGTGTTTAATTAATACAACAGTATTTGTTTTATTAAGATATCCCTTCAACTCCCAAGATAAAAACGTATAGACTATCATAAAAGACAAAATAGTAAAATCAATCAATCACAACTCATCACATAGCACTTAAGCTGCAGAACACTTCTTCCGTAAGTTGAGTGTTGCCTTCTACCCCAAAAGGCCCATGGAAAAAGCAGTTTTGGCTGCTTTCCCAAATAAAAACAGGAACGGAGGCATCCTCCATCCTACAGTACAGAGACTATTTCAAAGTGAAGGAGCTATGATGTGAAGGCCTGGTTCCCTACTTCCTCCCCCATATCATTAATTTGCCCTCATGATCCTCCCTCACCCATAACATCTTCCTATCTTTGGGAACTGGGTGGGCAGACTGTGCTTTGGGTCAGATGCTACCCAAAATAGCAGCAACCTGAGCCATATGGAGCTTTGGTAAATGATCATCAAGCACCTTGAGTTGCACCGAAGAGGCTTCTGATAACGAGCACACCTCCCACAAAATTGGTGTTGACACGTTAGTAGGCATACAATTAAAGTGTTTCCAAATTACCTTCAAGGACAGTTCCATAAAGAGTAAATTGCAATAATCCAAACACAAAATGACAAGGCCATGAGTTACTAATCTCCTGATCCAAAGGAGGTCACAACTCATGCATCATCAGTTCCTGATTATGACCTTCCTGGCTGTAATTCCCAGCTTTGATCCAAGCAGGAGTCTCCAAAAGGACCCCCAGATCTTTTTGGACACAGTCATCCCATCGCAGGGCTAAACAAGGAAAAATTTTGAGCAAAGTAAGACTACACCTGGAATACTGCAACCAATTTTGGTCACCATACTACTTAAAAGATGTTGAGATTTTGGAAAAAGTTCAGAGAAGAGCAACTAAGATGATCAAAGGCCTGGAGACTAAACCATATGAAGAACGGCTGCACGCTTTGTGTCTGGCTAGTCTAAAGAAATTAGGGGCGATATGATAGCGGTATTTCAGAATTTGGGAGGCTGCCACAAAGAAGAGGGGTCAAATTATTCTCCAAAGCACCAGAAGGCAGGACAAGAAATAATGGTTGAAAACTAAACAAGGAGAAAAGCAACCTGGAATTAAGGAGAAACTTCCTAACAGTGAGGACAATTAACTAGCGAACAACTTGCCTTCAGAAATTGTGGGCGCTCCATCACTGGACACTCCATCAGAAGAGACTAGACAGTCACTTGTCTGCGATGGTATAGGTTCTCCTGCTTGAACAGGGGGCTGGACTAGAAGATGTCCAAGGTCCCTTCCAGCTCTATTCTATTCTAAAGTCTAAGTTAACAAGAGAAATTAAAGTAAGTGGCCAAATGCCATTTAATTTTCAAGGATGAGAGAGGCAGACTCAGACCAGTCTGCCCCCCTCTCGCCAGCAAATGCTTGAATGCTCATCAAAGTAAGTTGAAAGACATGAGTGCCAACATATAATCATTTGTGTAACAAGACTGATCCATCACTCTATTATCTTCATGAACGCAACAGTCATAAAACCCTAAGGAGTCCATTACAAATGGAGGTAGCCAAGATTGGTAAGAGTGATGCAGTGTCACTACAGGAGATGGAGGTAGACACTGCCAGAATCAAGATATATAAGATTGGCCTTGGATATACACACAAAGCACCCAGAGGACCATAAAGGATGCTATGCTTCCATAAGTCCTCTTCATGTTCAACAAGCTATCTTATTACAAAATGCCAGGAGATCCGGCAGCAAAGTCTGTATCTATATAAATGTTAAAAATGAACAAATCAAAAATGATTAGTCCAAAGCAACAGGTGAAAATAGGTATGGTAAGAATAAATACTAGAAGTGAATCTTTTTTAAAAAGCATGTACACCTTTTTTTAAAAAAAAAAAAAAATTCTTTTGGTAGAGCTCTAAACTGCTCCAAAACAAGAGGCTGTGGGAGAAGATACTACTGAAAGACCTGTTTCTACTAACCACAACTGCAGCTGTAGATTTCAGATATGCTCCAAGCTTTAACGGAAAATATGAGAAAAGGTACTCATTAGATACTGTAGCTCCAAAGGGTGAAGATATGGGGGATGGTGCCATATATGCCAGTTTCCTCTGGTGTCCACATTCCTTTATAATAGATTTAGTTCCAAAGAAGTAATTACAAGCCAATGAAGACAGCAGTCTACCAGTATAACAGAACTAGAATTCTTCTTTGTCTGCAAAAAAACTGTCCTCTGCACATGCTCATTTTTATATAATATGCATTAAACCACATCCTTTTCCAGAAATGAGTCTTCCTTTGACCAACTGACCAAGTTATGAATCTGAGAAGTGCATAAATTTCAGATAAACTCACATTAGCGTAATGGCCTCACAACTAAACAGTTCCAAAAAGGTTCCTGCAAATTATGCTACAAACATTATTGGCAGAAGACAACATCTTTTTATTATGCCATTTCCTAAATTCATACTGTAAGCCATTCCTATCAGAATATTCTCCCAAAGGTGAATCATATTCTGGGAAAGAGGGCATTTCAGTCAGCAACAAATCCTCCCCAATCCACAATAGAAACCACATTCTCTCTTAACAAGGCAAATGCACCCAATCTCTACTATTCAAATATCTTTGAAATCTGACACGGTATTCCATACCAGGAAAGGATCCAAGAATTTTCTTTTCACTTTTTACAAGGCATTAAACATTACCGGATTAAATTCCTTCATTTGATTTATCTCTTTCAAATAAGAAACCGCAAGAATGAAAGCACCTTTCAAAACAGAAATTCTTGACATCATTTAGCAAAACCTTTCTTTAAAAAATAAATAAATAAATAACGGAGATTGTTAGTATGTTCTGCTCTGACCAACTTTTGAAAGAATGTACTGGTGTGGGAAGGAAAAAACAAAACAAAACAGAGACAACTTTGTTGCTTTCATCCAAAGCAATCAAGACAGAAAAAGCATATCCACCTCCACAAGAAGCCAAATGGGCCGTAGCATGCTAAAGCAGGGGTGTCAAACTCACGTTGTCACGGCAGCGTCACGTGACATATTGGGATTTTCCCCCATTCGCTAAACCGGATGCGGGCGTGGCAAGCGCATGACGTATCCGGCCCATGGGCCGGGAGTTTGACAATCCTGTTCTAGAGCAACTGTAAGATAATCTTGTCACTTTTTACTGTGAACACACTGGCACACATTAAAAATGAAATTGTTGCCTGCTCTCACAAGAAAGTACATATCTACCCATACGCATACATCACACACACTTTTGCAAAAGCTTATGATATATAGCTATATATCTATATATATCTATATCTCAACAATAAATCTGCTTTTTACTTGTTCATGGCCTCATTTTTTAGAGGTTTGTGTTTTTTTTAACTCTCTCACACGCACATATTTATATATATATGCTAAATATTTATACCTACATCCATATATACACCCACATATATATATATGTTAATCACTGTCCGTTTTGAATAAATAGTGGAAAGAGAAACTTGAGAGTTCACAAGGTTGATGCTCTATGGAATAAAAATGTGACTGAATCTAGATGTTCTCCTTCGGATACCACAAAGTCTCCTCCCAGAAGGTAACAAGGAAAACAGGTCGTGAAGAGCATGGGCAGCGTCCCAGACAACATTAGGGACCTTGCTCAAGCAGCCCTTAGATCTCTAAGAATGTGGGCTGTTAATGAATTCCAGTCTGGTGAATAAAACATGCAAGCAAACAGGCCAATGATGATGATGAACTTACTCAAAAGCAAAGAAGAGAGCGCACGTCCCCACAATGAGGAAGAGTGTCAAATAGAAGATGCCTTTCTGACGGGCCATCATAATACGCCCGTCGCAACAGAACGTATTCCTTCCTGGCAGCTTCTCCCATTTCCGCGTCACTTTCTTTCTTGCTATCAACACAGACATGGCTGCACCTTCACCGAAGGTGGGGTAACTCGGTAATGGCCTGTCTCCACTCCGGCCACCGGGAAGCACACACCATCCTCAGCAATCCAGCCTCAGCCCCTGGAAAAGTAAGCAATAAGGAAAGGTCAAGGCAACTCCTCAGGAGGCACTTAAGATTAGGAAATTGGTCCAAGCTGTTATTACTGGAAGCAAATCCTTTCTGGCACACCCACATCCTACATTTAAGCTTTAGTCACCGTACAATTTCATCAAGCAAGACAAGTGCCTGACAAAGAAGGAGAATACGTGCCGTCATTCTTGATATCAAAGAAACCTGCCCGATCCAGTATTGGGTAATCGATCATGACTCCCTCTGGCAAACGAGACTAGTTTAAAACAATCCAAACTCACTTGGACCTGCATTCCTGACAAACCTTTCCTCTGACTCAGAGGATGAACAGAGAGCCACAGTAGGAACCACAGTAGCGTTTTATGCGAGGTTTGTTTTTCTCCTCCTTGACATGTCAGTCTGTGCTACAGGGAGTAAAGCCCGATCCAGTCAAAATAATATTTCATCACTTACATTCCAATTGTAACCACAAAATGCTGCATGGATTTCCGGGCACTCATCACAAAGCATCACACAGAGTAATTTGAGTCTAGCACAAAGCCTTTGGACCAAACCCAGACATTCACATGCTGGCCTTAGTACTTCAGTCCAAAGTTACCCAATGCTTCCCTACTGAATCCGGTTCCAGAGTGGTTAATAATCAACTCCCCTCCTGTCTCTTTCTGCCCCACCTTTTCGCCTACTTGCTTTAAGGCCACACAGATCGACAATGAAAATAAAGCATTTACCAAAAAAAACCCCAAACCCTTCTTTTCTTCCAGCTTTGGTTTTCCAATGTCTCCACCACCCACAGCCTCCCGGCTCCCCAACCAGGATCCTGAACAAATAAAAGCTGGGGATGGGCTTGACGAAGAAGCCGTCAACAGACCCACTCAAATTCAGAATCGAGGCTCGAAATAACTTGGCTCTGCTCAAAAACAAGTGTACAAGATCCACCTTTTTTTTTTTTAAAGGCTCTTTTCAGCAACCCTTCAAGGAAAGGAGTTTTAACCCGTGACAAAGAGCATAGAGAGAGAAAAATACTCCACCGGTTAAGATGAAAAAAAGCAAAATAAATACAGACTCTAGATGAGACGAGATTGATAGATTAGGATAGATATAGATAGGATGGATGGATAGATAGGATAGATATAGATAAATAGATAGCATGGATAGATAGGATGGATGGATGGATAGATAGATATAGATAGGATGGATGGATGGATAGATAGATATAGATAGGATGGAGGGATAGAGATAGAAAGATAGAGATAGAGACAGGAAGGAAGGAAGGAAGGAAGGAAGGAAGGAAGGAAGGAAGGAAGGAAGGAAGGAAGAAAACAGTTTTTTGTCTAATCCACCTTCTATGTTTTTCCAAGAATAAAAGGAATGGGAATAACCACATATCATCCCGAGCTCCTTGGAGAAAAAATCAGCAGAGCTTATTTAGAACTAAAGAACTCTTTCTGAAATTCTCCCAAAGGCAGGATTCAAGGATCTCTCTGCTCTATCTATCTATCTATCTATCTATCTATCTATCTATCTATCTATCTATCTATCTAACTATCTATCTATCTATCTATCTAACTATCTGATAGATGATAGATAGATAGATAGATAGATAGATAGATAGAGGTATTTTTTTAAAAAATTTCAACAGCAGGAAGAGCGAGGAGGGGTTCTTTTGTTTGCTTGGCTTTGGGGGAGGCAGGGAAGGAAGGGTCTCGATCCACGCGCGTCCATCCACGCCGGCCTCCTTCCTTCCTTCCCCGCAAAAGCCATTGCTGCCAGGCGTGGCATAAACACGGGGAACTCGTTCAAGCCTTCTTTCCTTCTTGTCCGCTTCTTTCTTTCTTTCTTTCTTTCCCGATGGAGGAATCGAACGACGTCTCTTCCTCAAAAAAAGGTTGCCTCTCTTTCTGCAGGGATGCCCCCAACCACCCCTCCTCCTCCACCACCACCACCCCACAGCAGCCACGCGAGTCCCGGCCTCCCTCTCTTCCCCCCCACCCCACGTTCCCACAAGCGTCCCCGGCAGACAAAGGCAGGGCCTCGCTTCCCACCCACCCACCCACCCACCCACAATAACAGCCAAGCCCACCCAGCCACGTTTTCATGCGTACCGCCAGGATCCTGACGACCCCCAAGCCACAACCCCGCCAGTGATAAACCCAACCCGACCTCGACACGCGTCTGGGCATTCCCACGTGCGCGGCGGAAAGAGGTCCCCGGGGGGGGACGGGGAGGGGAGTTGTCTGGCCAAGGGAGGCCTGTCGGGCGCCGCACCCCACGTGCGGCCGGACAGCCACACCCCCGGGCGGTCGAGACAGCGAGGCCGAAGGGGGTCTGAGAAGGGTCTCTGCACCGACCCCACCACCCACCGTTGCAAGGCCAGAGACGGGAGCGTCGCCTCTCCTCGGCTTCCTACCCCGGACCGGCGTGGCTCTCTCTCTCTCACCTGCCGCCTGGCGTTGCCGGGGCTGAGACCGAGGCCGGCTCCGGCCGAGGCCTTCCTGCTTTTTCTGTCGCGGCGCGGTTCTGAGGAGATGGGGGGGTTGAGAGGAGTCGCTGCTTATTGGCCCAGCCGCGCCTCCGCACCGCCTCCCGGCTCAGATGGGCGCTGCGATTGGTCCAGCCGGCTGTCACTCACTCTGAAGTAAAGCAGTGGGTGGGGGAGGGAGGGGGAAGAGAGGAAAGAGGGCGAGGCTGTTTTTCTTCGGCTGGCTTCTTTGCCGCTCGGGCGGAGGGTCGGTGAGGGAAGGAAGAGGCGCCGCCTCACTCGGGGGACCCTCCCGGTAGACCCAGGAGGCGGCTCGTTCTACAAACGGGAGCAGGATTTTTATATATATATATATTTTAAAAAAAGAGGTGGACTTCGTCCCCCTCAGGCAGCGCCTGATGTTGTGTGGAGACTCGAACCCGCCCGCTTGGCCCCGAAGGCAGCCTTTTTATTGGTCGGGTGGCCCGTCATTTGGGAAGAGCGGCGGGGCGAGCCGCCTAGTGGGCGGGGCTAAGCGAGCCAAAGAGCCGGAACGATTTCCCCCCCCCTTTGCGTCAACTAATCGAAACGGGTGGGCGGGGCCGACGTTGGATTCCTACGCTTCATTGGATCGGGGAAGCCGCGCCCCCTCCCTCCACGGTGGCCCAGATTCCAAAGGGGGTGGGCGCGGTCAGCGGTAGCCCCGCCCACCTGGTTATTAAATTGCCGGGGACCTCGCCCTGCAAATCGGGGTAAGGCTTGGAGGAACGAAGTGTTTTTTTATTATTATTATTTATTTCCCCAACGCCTGGGAATTTGGCAATTTGCATAACATTTAAATAATTAGCATAGGTACCCGCAACAGGGCAAGAGCGGCCCCTGTACTTGTCATTCCAAATGAAAGAAAAAAAGGGGGAAAAGGGCGGAACTGCTGCAAAAGTCTGGCTTCAAAGGCGGAACTGCCGGTGCGCTTTACGGCAGAGAGGGCTCTTAACACGTGTTCGGTAGCCTTGTTCGGAAAGGAAAGGTGGTTCCCGTGTTCGGCTGGAAGTGGGGGGGAGTTTCGGTGGCTTTGCACCCCCCAATGGAGGCTGTCCAAGAGGAAGATCCCTCCGAGAGGGAGCTGATCCCGAGCGAGGAGGACGAGGTGGAAGAGGTGAGCTCTCTCCCAAGAAAAGAAAAAGACTCTCTTCTGATTCTGGAAGTTGGATTTTTATTATTATAAAAATCCTTCTCTGCAACCGGATCGGATAAGTAGCAAGGATGCATTTCCACGACCGACCGGCGGGTGGCTGCTTTTTCCTGCATTGAATGCGCTTGAGCGAATTGAGAAAAACTCTGCCCACTGTAGCACGTTCGATACAATGAATGCGCTTGAGTGGAGTGGGAAAGTCTGTAGAGATTCTCAGTCATCCAAGTCATGGTTGTCCCAAAGGCAGGGGTGAAATCCAGCAGGTTCTAACAGGTTCTGGAGAACCGGTAGCGGAAATTTTGAGCAGCCCCTGACCTTCGCACTTTCCTCCGCGAATTAAAAACATGGCTGTTCAAATTGCCCAGCCTGGACTGATGGGGTTTGGGTTATTTTAATATGTTTAATATGTGTTTAATATATATTTTAACATGTTTTATCTGGTTTGATTTTAATTGTTGTGAGCCGCTCTGAGTCCTATGGAGATAAGGCGGCATACAAATCAAATAAATAATAAATAAAAAATAATAAGTTCGGAGAACCGGCAAATACTACTTCTGGCTGGTCCCAGAGTGGGGTGGGAATGGGGATTTTGTAATATCCTTCCCCCTGGAGTGGGGTGGGAATGGAGATTTTGCAGTCTCCTTCCCCTGCCACGTCCACCAAGCCATGGCTCGCCCACAGAACCAGTAGTTTTAAAAAATGGATTTCACCGCTGCCCAAAGTTGCTTTTTTAAGGAGGTAACTGGACTTTCTTGTTTTTTTTTTCTTTTGAAGACGTTTCCCTTCTCATCCAAAGAAGCTTCTTCAGCTCTGACAGGATAGTGGAGGAATGGAAGGATTGATACTCCTTGCAGACAGCTGGAAATTTGCATCCTTTTAGAGCAAGAGGTCTTCAAACTTGGCAGCTTTAAAGACTTGTGGACTTCAACTCCCAGAATTCTCCAGCCAGCTAGGTTGTGGAGTTGAAGTCCACAAGTCTTAAAGCTTGCCAAGTTTGAAAACCTCTGTTTTAGAGGGTCCTTGAAGCACTTGGAGGTTTATCTGTGTCCTCAGGGTCACCTGAGTGGTGCTCCTGAGTCCTGTAGTCTGCAATTTTTTCCCCTCTGGAAACCCATTCCTACTCCCACACCATTCCAAGGGTGTTCATCCCAAATTGTATAGCTAAAAGCAGGGGTGAAATGTAAAATTTGTTACTACCGGTTCTGTGGGCGTGGCTTGGAGGGGGTAATGTGACTGGGTGGGCGTGGCCAACTTTTTTTATTTTAACTTTTCAAAGCATTTTTTCTGCAAATGCAAAAAAATGCTTTGAAAAGCCTCTGCCGATCAGGAACACAGCTGGGATCGTCAGAGCCTTTTCAAAGCATTTTTTAAACCACCTCTTCCACTGAAGAGATTGCAGAAAAAAAATGCTTTGAAAAGCCTCTGAGATCCCAGCTGAGCCGCGCACTCATCAGAGGCTTTTTTTTTTTTACTTTTAAAAGCATTTTTTCGGCGGAAGAAGTTGTAGAAAAAATGCTTTTAAAAGTGTAAAAAAAAAAGCCTCTGATGATCGTGCGGCTCAGCTGGGCATGGTGGGGGGGCAGGGATTTTTGCTACCGGTTCTCCGAACCACCTGCCGCCATCGCTACGAGATCAGGCGATCCGGTCTGAACCAGGAGCATTTCACCCCTGGCTAAAAGTATTAATTGAGAAAGGCTCTGTAACTAGCATGTTTGGGGGGGGAAATGTGTGTGTGTTGGCTTGCTATGGTCCTTGGGGTTGCGAAGAGTGGGACACAATTTAGCGACTGAACGACTAAAGCCTGTTGAATGCAGGGATAATTTACCACAAATTATGTTACTTTCATCTGGATTTACGAGTTCTTGCTTTATTATATACGTTGACCGCAGCAAGGCTATTCTATGCACAAAAATGGAAGGACACTTCGATTCCTACCATGGACGAATGGTTGCAGAAGTTGACGGAGTTGGTTGAAATGGCAAAACTGACCACTTTGATTAAAGAAAAGAACTTTTCTTTACAAAGTACTTTTGTTTCCACTTGGAGACTGCTTCTGAACTTGGTGCTTGAAGTGGAAAAGAATGAAACTCTGACTTTGGGTTTTACCCAATAGATTGATAGATCTTTACTGAAATGGCTTGTTCATATTATTACGAAAAAGCAAAAAAGTTGCAATTTGATGTTAATGTCTTTATTTTACTGCAACAGAGAGAGTCAGAAGTCAGTGTTTCTTCTTATCTTTTCTCACGTCTCTTGCCCCTTTTCCTCCCCACTGCTTTTCTATTTACTTTTTGTATTTTACAATATTTTGTAACTCAATAAAATGTTAAAGTGATGAGTTCTTGCTCATTGGAAGTCTTTTTTTCCCCAGGTGGACGAGGAAGGGGCAGCCAAGAAGCACCGGCAACTGGTAGATGCCCTCACCGCCTTGGTTGGTGGGAAGCGGTAAGAGAGAAAGTCCTTGGTGAGGGAGACTGAGAACAAGCCATCCTCAAAGGTTACCATGCAATCCTTTCCCACTAATAAATTGGTTATTGTCCTTCTTGCAGAAAACGAAAGGTTGAACGTACTGAGGCCAGCGCGCAGATTTCAGAATTCGATGTGGGTGGTGGAGGTGAGATTTATTTATTTATTTATTTATTTTGCTTCTCACTGTTAAATCCATACAATACCTTTTGATTACTGTATTTTTCGGAGTATAAGACGCACCTTTTCCCCCCTAAAAGGGGGTGAAAATTTAGGTGCGTCTTATACAGCGAATGTAGCCCCGCCCGCCCACTGGCCCCCACCCTTTGGCCTCTGCCTCCCAACAGTTTACCTACTTGCAGCAAGCAGCAAGAAGAAACAGCTCCTTTCAGCTTCAGCACAGCCTAATTAGCACAAGTTGATTGGATCGGCCTCCCGACTCTCAACTGTTTTGTTCTCAGCTGTTTTGCGTGGACCTCTGTTGCTTGCTGCAAGGAGGTAAATTGTTGGAGCAGATTTTTTTTTTCCTTGTGCTAATCAAGCTATGCTGAAAACAAAAATGAAAGTAAAGCAGGCTGTTTGCTGCAAGGAGGTAAAATTGCTCAGAGACAGAGGCAGCAGATTTCTTTTTTTTCTTTTCCTCACCAAAAAAAGATAGGTACATCTTATAGTCCGGTGCGTCTTATACTCTGAAAAATACGGTATGTACCATCACATAGTAAAACTTTTACTCTGCAACAGTCTATAGGTAGTCCTTGTCTTACGACCACAATTGAGGCCCAAAATTTCTGTTGCTAAGGGAGACATTCGTTAAGTGAGTTTCTTGCCACCGTTGCTAAGTGAATCATTGCAGTTGATAAAAGTTTGTAACCCGGTTTGTTGAGTGAATCTGGCTTCCCCGCTGGCTTTGGCTTGTCAGAAGGTCGCAAAAAGTGATCCCGTGATCTTGGGACAGAGCAACGGTCATACGTATGAGTTGCTTGCCAAGCATCTGAATTTTGATCACACCATCATGGGTCTGCTCCGAAGGCCGTAACTCTGAAAATTGTGTGTAGAATAACAGTGTGAACTTCGACATTCCTGACTCAGAAATATCATGGCCTTTTGCAGATGCCAATGAGAAAGTCCAGCTCTCGGAGCTGCTACAACCGGTTTCTGCTGTGCCAGCTCTGCGCCCCGTTCGGAAACAGCTGAAAAAAGCTCAGCAGAAAAAACCAACTGAAATCCCACTTAGTAAGGAAGACACTGAAAGGGTAAGTCAGAAGGACAGTATTATTTGCGGGAACTGCACTGGTTGCCAATTTGCTTCCTGGTGCAATTCAAGGGGCAGGTTTGTCACCTTTAAAACCCTTCGTGGCTTGGGACCAGATTTTCTGAAGGACCGTCTCTTGCCGGTCACATCTACCTGACCCATCGTGAGGGAGGGAGGAAAGGAAGGGAATTAGAGTAGGAGTGAGGGTAAGAGGCCAAACAATGTCAACTGGCGGCCCCTAGGGGGAGAGCCTTCTCTGTGGGGGCACCTACGATCTGGAACGAGCTCCCCCTGGAGATACGGAGGATCCCGGATCTGTGCACCTTCCGTCACGCGCTTAAGACTTTTTTATTTCATCAAGCTGGCCTGGCCTAAATCTTCTCCCCTTTTTAAATGTAAA